GAAAGAAAAAATAATGGTATCTGCCAATAAAAATGGTTGCTTGCCAAAGGAAGTCTTCACATATCAAGAGATAACTCTGATGTTAACTTTATCAGCAGAAAAAGATGAAAAATTCAAGGGGACTTCAAAAGGTTTTTGAATAATGGTATTAAAGTTTGAGTTTATTTTGGCAGACAGTTTTTGAAATCCATGCACGTTTTTTAATAATATGCATTTTCCATGATTTTTTTTTGCTAACCCTTCATATTAGTGTAAGATATTAATGTAATTGCCACTGGAAGAGAACTCTAGAGTCTACTTGAACGGTGGGGCTTTGATTCAAATTCCAGCTCTGCCACTTATTAGCTGTGTGAAATTGGGGGAAGTTATTTCACCTCTCCTTACCTAAATGAACACCTGTATGAAATGAGAATAATGGAAATAAATGCATCACAAAGTTGCATTTAGGTGATGTGAGTAAAGGTGAAACACATGTTGGCATGGTGCATAGCACGAGGCTCTATGTTTAACATGCTTTAATAATAATCAACATTATTATTGCTGCTGCTGTTGGTATTAGGGTAAGAGAAAAACCTGGCCCAAAGGAAAAGAAACTTAGTACCATGACTTGAAACACGCTCTTCTAAGAGCCTTCCAAGTCTAGGTCACTCAAATATCATATGGGTGCAGTGTCCTGGAATGGAATAAAAACAATTCCTGCTTTGGAGAAACTTTTCTTCTTCCCAGAAGACTGAAAAACAAAACAAAACACAATGAAACATAAACAGCTCCCTCTTCTATATCTTTTGTAATTGGTTCATGCCACCTTGTGTGCTTCTTCTTTAAAATTCCACTCTACATATTTTATGCCCTTCGAAGTTCATATAAAATCAATATGCAGAAATCAGCTTTATGAGTATTGAATTTCTACAAAACATTTCTGTTTGGAATTCAAGTCCCACGGAGCACTGATCCATGCGTTTTATTACTATTAGAATAAATGGATGTGGTGCTTTATTATACTTGTTGAACAGTGCGTAAAAGACCATGAAAAATCTAAATAATATAGAAATGGCTGCCTTAAAGTCCCCTGGGAAGAAGAGGATGGCCTGCTAAGAGTCTGTAAAGACCAACAGGTGCTAAGAAATTTGTTTTGACCCATTAAATTTTTATCAGCTTCATAGCTTTCAAGCTTCTCCTGCTGTCTGCCTTTGCTGCTGTCTAAAAGTCATAGGCTGGAAATGATCAAGTTTTCATGGGTATGTTAAGTGGGCAAGATGATTAAAATAGAAACAAACAAAATACTAGATGGTTTCACCCTGGTTCTCACATTGCTGCTTATTCGATACAGCTTATGGCCAGCACCCTTTTGTTGATAAGAACAGATACCAAGGAAATAGGAGTGGAGTTTATCACCCTTGTGGAGGTCCTGGGGATTCAGGAGACACTTTTACTGTAGCTTACCTCAGCTAACTGTAAATGAGTGAGAAGTCACAAAGGTACCCCTACAGCTTCAGTATGTCCCTGCATTCACAAGACTGACTTCTAATGAGCAAGGCTGCTGGGGAAATATAATTGCAGAAGCAAGGCAGTAAATAAAGGCCTGCCTTCCTGGAGCAGGCTATAAATCGTAGTAGGGATATGTGAGGGAGGAGGTGGGTGAAGAGGATAGACATTAAGTGTAATATGGGTGTAAATGTTTGAGGTTTCTTTATGGACTGTATAACTAGGCCACATACTCCCATTATGGCAGCCAATGAGTGCTGCATAAACCTTTGCTCTTTACTACTGTATAACATTGCAAGATGCAGCTGTTGGGGCCCTGGTAGCAGATGGCAGATGGATGGCCAAACACTTTCCAGGAAGCAGAGCCAGGTTTAGAAGGATCAAAAAGGAGGTTTCATCAACTCTTTAAATTTAGAAACACAAACTGTCACAGAAACAAAATTGAAAGAAACTAGACAGAAACTAGGTAAGTGCATTTCTTTTCAATGACTAGGGCCCAATTTGTCTATGGTGAACTGATGTTAACTCCTGCAAAAAAAAAAAATTATTTTCAGTAGTTTTTTTTGGGGGGGAAGGGTGCTAAAATTCAATCTGAGGGTCCTTGGTAAATTTCTTAATTTGGAAAATGCACTGATGACCTCTGTTCATCTTATAGGAAATTCTGTCTTTTTGTGAAACATCATCCAAAGTAAAATAAAGTTCCAAAAATAGGAATTATCTCGAGCTCAGAAATCATAGTTTGGTCAGAGAATGGTGAAGTCTCCCCCATCCTCACCCTTTCAATTTGGATGGAATTGCTTTTACAGCCAATTCCCGGAGAGAGGACTGGCTGATTTAAGTCACTGAGTATGTGTTTCCCATCTCCCAACCACGGTGACAGATGAAGAGACTCAATTCAGGCTAAACAGGTGTAACAAAATATCTGCTAGGAATTCTGGGTAAGGAGTTTTTCTCTCCTCATCTGTATCTGTTGCTCACTCTTCCTCTGCAGGCTGTGATCTAAACTGTGACAGTTCTCTAAGGGTGCCCTAATGAGAGCCTGCCACAGAATCAAGCTAATTCAACAAGGACCCTGAGCTCAGAGGAGGGCAGAACCTCCTCCCCTCCCTTTCCTTTCCTCCTTTTCCCTTTCTTTTGTTCTGTAGCTTAACTGCATATCCTGGTCATGGCAATCTGCCATGGGACTACACTCGCTCATTGTTATTTTGGACATTAATACTGTTATCCTACCTAACTACCTTTTTGAATCAATTCACTGTTCATTTTTAAGGAAGCAGTGCCATTTTTAAAAGATGAATAAATTTTGCTCTGTTTTATCACTTTCTTCTGAAAAAGAATCCCTGGATTCTGTAAACAATCCTCACAAGTTATTCATTAAAGCATTAAATTTGGCCACCCCACATGACATTTAAAGAACTTGGCACTCAGCACTTTGTTCTAAAATATAGGGGAAATCATTGGTTGACAGCAGAAAATAGTTTTTCCCTTAAAAGTTTTTCCCTTCAAAACTATCTATACCTTTCAGGACCAAGCATATCATTTGGAAAGATAAAGTTATTGTAAAAAGCAAGCTGTATTGGTTGGTAGCCTTCACAGTAAAGAGAGTGGTGTCCTTTCTTACGATTATTTTCTGTTTTGGGGCTCTGCATCCTTATGAAAAACTAAATACTGAAGACCTCCACTCTAATTCCACTTATGCCTTTATCATCTCTAACTACCTTAATAATTTTAGTATATCCTGTTGCTGATGAATGACCAGAGGCTGCCAAAATTAGAAGTTTGCTAACAGTCAGATCAATGTTGAAATATCTCTGTTCAATTCTTTTATTACTTTTGTGACCTTGTAAGGCATCTATAAATTGAAATAAATAGCTCTTCTCCTGTTCACAACATGATATTTACAAGCTTTGAAATATCAAGTCCAAATTTACACATCAATTTTACATTTCAATTATATTTTCATTAGATTTTCTAGTTCTTGTTATTTGGGAAGTAATTATAGTACTCTTTATAACTTTGCTTAGCTACTTTAAAATCAGTCATAAAAAAAATCCGGGAACTTTCCAGAACGCTCGGTGAGGAGCTGAGGAGCGGCTGCTGCCCGAGCTGCGCACAGCTACGCGCACCTTCCCGCTCCCCCACGCCGGCCTCAGCCCGCTCAGCGGCTGTAGAAAATGGTGAAGGAAACGACTTACTATGATGTTTTGGGGGTCAAACCCAGTGCTACCCAGGAAGAGTTGAAGAAGGCTTATAGGAAACTGGCCTTGAAGTACCATCCTGATAAGAATCCAAATGAAGGCGAGAAGTTTAAACAGATTTCTCAAGCTTATGAAGTTCTCTCTGATGCGAAGAAAAGGGAATTATATGACAAAGGAGGAGAGCAGGCAATTAAAGAGGGTGGAGCAGGTGGTGGTTTTGGCTCCCCAATGGACATCTTTGATATGTTTTTTGGAGGAGGAGGAAAGATGCAGAGAGAAAGAAGAGGTAAAAACGTTGTACATCAGCTGTCAGTAACCTTAGAAGATTTATATAATGGTGCAACAAGAAAACTGGTCCTGCAAAAGAATGTGATTTGTGACAAATGTGAAGGCCGAGGTGGTAAGAAAGGAGCAGTAGAGTGCTGTCCCAATTGCCAAGGTACTGGAATGCAAATAAGAATTCATCAGACAGGACCTGGAATGGTTCAGCAAATTCAGTCTGTGTGCATGGAGTGCCAAGGCCATGGAGAGCGGATCAGTCCTAAAGA